TGAGCTTTGTAAATAAACCACCCAGCTTAGACAATGAAAGCACTATTGAACAAATATAACTGAGCTGTATGTTTACTCTATCAGCTCAGAATAACAGTCAACTACAAAAACTACCAAGAATATTAACTTGGAATACATCCAATGTTACCGTTTTGAACAGATTTTGTCTAGAGCGTCATACTTGAAGTACAAGTACTACATGTATTTATTCCATGAGCGCTATATAAGCCTGTTCTGATAACCTTGTCTGTGAATGGTTGCATTTAGCAACTTCGTTTGATTCAATTATTTTCATATTTTTATTTACTGTTCTAGTTAGTTGGTTTATATTTTGTTTTTAATGAAGCGTTTTAATCCAATAAGGTTACGGCATATCGAAACAGACATCATAACTTCTACGTATCTGAATTACTCATGCTATTTATCAGTTTAATCAATGACACTTAAAAATATGAAACTTTATATATATACAATTACGGTACTGAATTGACATTTCGAAACAGTTAAGATATCGTCAACCAATCGGTGTTGTTAAGTAATAACTGATCACGAGATTAAATCCACTTAATTATTGAACAAAAGTGATTGATCACTGGGTGGCGATCAATGTCATGCATGTCTAATCCTTATTACTAGTGCAGATCGAATACTATCGACCATGTTGCAATGTGGCGACCAGCCTAGGTGACTCGACACTGTGTGCACTACTTTGAGATTAGATGGTGGTTGGAGGTAGTCGACAGGAAACCCTTTGCCCGGGTTTTGTGCTCATGGCACTCGTCAGCTAGGTTTGCCTGTAATCTTGAGGGAACTTGTGCTCTCTGGCGGATTCGATCTCGTGTCACTCATCTTCACAGTTAGAGACGTTACCACTGAGCTATCCGAGCCGCGACCGCATGAAAACCGAGTCCAAGGTTTCCTGTCGACTACCTCTAACCACCATCTAACTTACTTATTGAGTTTTGAATAGTCCTCAACAAACTGTTTTTATTCAAATCTTTGTAATAAACTTTATTTACCAAACAGTATAGAAACGATATTTTATTATTTAATGACAGTTTCATATATTCTTTGTTTGTATACATAAATCTAATTGAAAATGAAATTTCTTTATGAAACTCAAACTTGGATATCATTATTAACGGTATGATCAATTCATTTCAATATTCATTAACAAATAACCCATAACACATTTTATGTAAATCATATTTTTCTTTGTTATTCAATAAAATAAATGATCAAACGTTGTCCATGTTAGAAACTGTTTTGAAAGATAAACCAGATGATAAAAAAATCCATGTCATTAAAATGAACAGATGAAAGCTTTGTACTTATATTATCCACTCATAGAAAGCATTAATGAAACGGTGAAGATTTATAGGTCAGATGGATGATTTTAGTGAAGTTTTGTTCTTTGAGCTAGATGGTTTGACCATAGAAGTCTACTTGAAGTTTGTACTGATTATACCATTCAGAGGAACGGTAAAAGCTTAGTGACTAATTTTCTAACAAAGTTGGTAAAATGTATTGCTCACTAAAGCATTTAGATACCATCCCGATACTAAATACGTACCGGAAAACTGTTTATTTCAGTGATTTATAAAGATTATTTCAATCTGTCAATTCTTCATCAAAGTAAAAAACTACCCGTCATGAGAATAGTAAAATAAAACAGACTCTTGACAAATTTCTGTTGAATTCATGAAGCTATACTTATGTCAAGGTAGGAAATTGAAGACACTTGATCAAGACATAATCATATCACTTTGAGATTTTTGTATTTCTATTACATAAGTCTAATCTATCATATATAACTTGTCAGTAACAGGTTTTATGGCCGCTCGGTAGCTGATCAATCACAGTTTATAAATGGCTAGATTCTTCTCTAAACCTGAATATTACGATCTTTTAAGTTGCTTGGAGAGCTTTGATTACCTACGTCTCTAGAGAAGCAATTTTAACAGGATGTACAAATACCAACTAACACTTATAGGAGTTCAGTCAAGAATATTAATAACAGGATAACTCAAACCCTTGGAAACCAGATTAAGCTCAATAAAGGTGTTATTTTCCTCACTTTCTACCGCTTAATGAGTGGTAACTGTAGTTAGAGCCTTATTTTTATTAAACATTTAGAATTTTGTGCAACTGGCTGTTATGAGCATGAGTGTTGAAAAGCTGACCTGCCAGATGGAAACGACAAATACAATAAGATATAGGTTTGGAAATAACATCTCAAATTAAAATTATGAAAGTGCAGTACACAACGCTTTTACTGTACTCTGAAAACACTGAGAATGACGCAGGCAGTTCTGTGTAAATGTCCGCTTTGATAATGATAAAAATCATAATGAATTAAGTTTTAGTTCGTCGTCGGCGGGCTTACCATTTTAGTGGCCCGTGGATCTGACTCCAATTAGATCGTATGGATGTTTGCTATCGCTTATTCTCATATATAATCGTCGACTTAAATCACGTTATGCAGCAACGGAATTAAATAAGTCAAATAACGAGAATGGGATGTTGAATACATATATTTTGTATATGAGGTAAATGGAATAAAAGCTACGCAGAGTGGAGATGGCTGGTAAGCCAACTCATTTTTAGTCAGGCGTTAATCAATATTTATAGGCAGACAAAAATAACTACAGACATGCAATGAGTCATGGGATATGATGTGTACACACATATATGCTCATATGAAAACAATCACGACTGACAAGCGAATAATTGACAAGGTCAACATATGACTCAAGTAGAATGAATAGAATGGGATGTCCGATAACTAGAATAAGACATATTATGGACTAAAACTAATGCCTAACACTACAAAGCCACCGATACTCATTTATTTAAGATCTTTCAATAAACTAACTATTCAATCGTGATGCTGTTCGGCTTTTTTTCATTGTCTCTGAACTTCTCAAACAATTTTTATTGCTTTTAAGGATGCTTCAAGATGCAGTCTTTTCACTTATTGACTGGTTGCTTGATCACGTAGAAAATACTCTCTGTTCTAATCACGTCAATTAAATAACTAACAACTTATTTCTTGTTTTGATCTATGAATATTCACGATTATTTACACAATGATCTTCACTATTATATTCTTGAAATCAAATCGAGCATAAGATGGATTTACGTCACGAAACCTTGCTACTATTGTCTCATTGAAAGTTATTTCTTTCATATATTGTCTGTATCTCATCATTATGGTACAGGATTACCTAATAAAATTGTTATATCCCGATAAGAATAATGAATGATAACTTTTGGAATCCATTTACGAACCAATGCTATGAGTATACCTTCATCGTGTAATTGTTATGTAACTAAACTGTTCATATCCATGTCCCTCTTATTATGAGTTTCATTATGACTTATGAACTATTATTATACGATTTACCATTCTTGAGTTATGCCCTGTCTATTGATTACTATCTCTCTCTTTCGTGAAATCACAAAGGCCATTCAAACAGGCCTCGTTCATTATTTATACATTGATGCAGATCAGCTATGTTTTGTTATGTCTGGGAAGTCATAGTATCTACAGTGGTTGTGTACCTAAGACCCCTCCTATTCAAGATTCTAGAGAAGTAAAATAAATCAGCTCTCCTTCTGGTGAATCAAACGGCCAGTTTCATACGCGTCTGTCCAGGGACCCTGTGGTATCTTCGTACTGTTTGCCTGGTGTTGATATCGTAGCAAGCACCAAAACGAAGACAGTGCTAATCGATTTGATCCTCATTAATAGTCGTTTATTTACTTCGCAGATTGTTCGAAGGCCGTGAAAAACTCCTTTGCAAGGAGCATAACGATTTTTGTTGTAGTTGTGGATATTTGTTTTATAACACCTGGATCAAATGATTTATTTCATTAGAATATTTATATGGAGATTGAAGACTGGGCAAACACTTAGCTAACTACAGCTATGTAACCTTAAGGGATTTTAAAAAAACGGCTTTACAAGAATCAATAATCCAAGGTCGATTATAAAATTTGGCAGCTCACACATCGATGTGGCTTACTTTTGATTAATAACACTGTTATGTATGTCAAGTATCTCAAACCAAACAATCACAAATATGAAAAACCGAGTTTTACTTATTCTAGCCTATATATATATACATGAACTAAAAAGTCGATATTTTCAGTTTCTTACTGCTAATCTGTAATTGGGTAGAATAGTTCTTTTTTTCTCCTTCTTTCTCAGAAAAAAAGAGTATTCAAACAAATAAACACACAAAACAATAATGATTCGTTTGTTTTAAAGGTTTAAAGAAAATAAATAAACATGAATGCACATATGTATGTATGTTTCCAGCGTATATATATATATATATATATATATATATATATATATATATATATATATATATATATATATATATGGAAATTATCTGAAGATTACTGGGTTAATGTTGTTAATTATAATACAATTATTATTACTATTGATTGATGGGAAAAGATCAATTGTAGCTTCATCCACTTCTCCACAACATCACCTTTGTCATTATTAATAAGTAACATTATAATTTGTATGATTAATCACCGTAATAAACATTCATTTTATAATCATCAGAAATTATAAAAGACAAATAAAATCTTATAGTTATCTTCGCATTTTCTACAAATTATCATCAAATAGAATATGCAATTACATTTAGAAAATATTCAAGGAAACAATTTAAGAATATAAACAATATGAATAAACGAACAAAACAGAATAGACAATAAACATTCACACATACACAATGAGAGAGAAAATATATAAATAAACAAAATTAAACTAAATAACATAATTATTATGTTACTTAATGCCTAAATACAATTCAAAATTGTAACCTTGTTGTTGTTGGTATTTTCATAACTAACACCATAGAAATAAATGAAATCATTAAAACAAAACAAAAAAAAAACACAAAATATTCAAGAATATAAAACATTCAATAATATTGAATGAATAAAGAAATAATAATAATAATAATACAAAAACAAATGTGAAATATGTAAATGGTTTATTACTCAAGTAGATGGTTTTTGAGTTGAATTTAAACAAAATTATATAGATTTGTACATGGCAATAATAGTTAAATGGTTATGATGATAAAGGAGAAACAGTTGATTTACTTTACGTTTTTTTTATTACCTTCAAAAAGAAAGGTACCTCCCATCTTCTCTACCTGATTGTCAATATAATGATATTGATAAAATTATAATGTTCAAATAGAGATAACTTACTGAATGACGATAAACATACTAGTAATGCTAGTAGTAGTAAACTTCAAAAGAAAAAGCATATTAACAATGAATTACAGTGCATGTATGATATACATATAACATCAACGTAAAGGTGATGTGATCGGTGCACAATTAGTCATGGGTAATGTACCAACCGTAACAGTAAATTTATTATTCACTTCAGATGATGGATCATTTAAACTAGGATTGGGTAAACTGTCCGATGGTAAAAGAATATTTGTAGGATTGTTATTAGAACATTGAGTTGTTGTTGTTGTGGTGGTGGTGTTGGTGGTTGGCATTGTTGTATCAGGTTGATAATGCATTGTTTGTAGATTCGGTTTGGTAGCAGTCGACCATAAACAAGCATAGCGTTCTCTTAATAACCGCATACAATCCGATAATAATGTTTTATCCCTTTGTGATTTAGCATGTTGACATAGGCCATGAATTAAAGTGATACCAGCCTTATATCGTTGAAGAGACTAAAAAGGAGAAGACTTCGTTTTAAAAGAATGTTTTTATTATCATTATTATTATAAGACATAAAAGAGTTAAAATAATAATTATTATTTTCAGCCTGTTTACTCAGATGAGCACCCATGACCAGACGGGGTTCAAAAAACAAGAATACGAGTCTTTATCGACTGAAATGGTTGGGATATGTTATATGTACTCTCACCCACCTCTTGTATTGTCAAACGATTATGTCTGGTGGGGCAGTAGATTGGATGAAAGCTGAGGGTGACAAAATTAAAACATATCATTGGGTTATGAAATGACTGACTGTTGGACTAGATCAGGTAAGTAGGTGTGGACCAACTCGGTTGGGTTCTGCTCGATTATCGTAACCAACCACTAGACTTCAGGTGACATGGCTCAGAATCGTTTTCAATGGTACTGGTGCATCCATTCTTTGTATTCTTCATAGTTCATAAGTTTTTACACTACGTTATACATTTCTTTTTCTTTTTCTTAACTTACACCTGTAGACTCTCGTGAGAGCATAGCCCACCGATTAGGGTTCTCCAACCAACTCTATCCTATGTTTTTCTTTCCAGTTGCTTTCAAATGAGATTCATTCTCTTCATGTTTGCCTCCAATTTTTGGCGCAATGTGTTCCTTGTTCTCTCTCTTTTCCTTTAATCTTAAGGATTACAAGTTAGGTTCTTTTAATTCTATTAATCCATATTCCCTTCTCGAATCGGACCTTCTACGGCTATCTTTTCGATTACCGCTAATACTTTTAATACAGCCAAAACTGTATGATTGACCTTGAAAAATTCATCTCACTGTGTTAATTGACTGTGACAACTTGAAAGGCTGCACATGTGCCTCAATTTCTACGTTGTATATGACCAACTGACAATGGGAATTTCAGTCTTGCTATCAATGTGAAAAATTCATTCCTTAGCTTTTACAAAGGTAACATGAATATTAGGTGATTGACTAATGATCACAAACGCGAATTTTAGTGATTTATAGTGTTATGGAATGTTTGAAATCCAAATGAAGGAAGACTGAAGATATTATTATTTAATGAGAAAACGAATCTACGCAATTAGACAGAGTAGACAACGTATAAACAATACAGCACTTGAATAATGAGAAAACGAATCTACGCGATTAGACAGAGTGGAAAACGTATAAGCAATACAACACTTGAACAACGACAACCACAGACGAGTTATAAAAGAGAACGTTTATACGTAAAGAAAAGTTAATTACGTAAAATATTATCAGAGTATATATAAATTTTGATAAGACAACAACAAATAAAAAACGAGTGCAAATTGCATAGGGTTATATAAATTCGGGAAGAAACAACAAAGTTCATACGAACTTCCTTAGTTAAATACTACAGTCTCATTATTATCATTTCCACTAATAAATCTATAATTATTATGCTTTCAACATTACTATTAACCTTCTAAACAAATGCAGGATTTCGTCAGCACTCACCACATTTTGTTTATTGAATCTATATAACTTATATGACCCTTTATTAAACATCGTATCTGATTTGTACTGACATAATTTCTGTTTTATCCTATCTTACCTATATTCATTCTGATCATTAATTTCATAATTCCATTTAATGTACAAATTAGCGAGACTATAAATTATGGACGAACCGATTAGATTTAGGATAACAGGTCCTGGATTTTGACGCGAGATTCGTCCACCCATTTGGTTAAAGAGCATTTTGAGACTTTAGCTAGTGCCAGTTAGTGATGAAAACTTTAAATCTAATTCCTAACCCTAACTATCAATTGTAAATTATAATCCTTATTCTTTACACGGGTTTATAATTCCCATTTAACTTTAGTGAGTAGTTGAATATTCTCAAGACCACTATAGCGTCGCTCAAAGGTCGTCCATAAATTATAGACTCATCTATAAATTTATTCACGTTAATATAGCATAAAAGTCATTTCAACAATAATAATAGTTGTATTTTATTTTACAAACAATCCTAAATTCACATACAGTAAATTTTAGACGGTATAATTTTGCCATAAACCTGGTTAATTTTTGGATTAATAATTTGAATGCATAACTGTTGAACCTGAAGAGAGTCCATTGAAAACAATATACTTCGTTCACATATGAGTGTTTTACTATGATGAGAATATTTGGACAGTTAAAATATAAATCACTAGTAAGGCTTTCCAATAAGTAATAATTGATGGGAAACTTAAGATTATGGCTTCTTCTTTACTCCCATTAAGGTGTATCTGTCAAATAGAAGATATGGTATATGCTACTTATATTTGTCGACATAAGTAGTATGTAACACCAGTCAGAAGTGAACTACCTGGCAGCAGAAGTTTGAGAAGATCGAGTTGAAGAGAACGGGAATGTAAACAGAGAGTAATTGTGATAGCAATGAAGGAATAATGAAGTTTGAGATAATTAATGGAAGATTTACAAATGAAGTATTTGATGTATGGCTTTCCACATTTTTACGAAGGAACTCTGTAATTTTGCATTAAAGAATAAAATTGGTAATCCTCAACTGAGTTTTAGTTCACTACAGATATTATGTTAACATTTATTATAAGTCTCACATCTTTATGGTTGCATTAATTTTGGTAGCAATTGTGAAAAGATAAACGATAAAAAATGTTACAACCGATCGGGATGGATAAATGAACTGAAATGATTAATTGAATTAAACGGCTATGGAGCTACAATCACGTCTATATTTAGCAATGATGCTTTCATAAACCATCAATATGACTTATGCACTAAGAATAAACGTTAAAAATGTAAACATACTAATGCGATTTCACCAATATACTCATCCATTTCAGCAGCATAACACTGAAATTCAAAGAAAAATAAAATGACACTAATAATCAATATGCATGTTATAGAAGACCGTATTAAACAATAAATGGTATAATAACACTATACTAAAGTGTACTTCAAATAATACACATATATTTTTAAAAAAACAGAACGAGAGGTGAAATTACCAAATCTAAACAAAAGATTACTTCATCAATCGAAAAATAGAATCTCAAAGATTATGAAACTATAAGTTAAGACTGCATAAATATCACTTTAAGTGTAATATTTACAAAATGGATTTCAAATAATAATTTTTTTTCATAATTCACAATTAGCCTATCATTAGTAATAAATGATCAAATTAATCTAGGATTGGTTGAAGTTAGACATTAATATCGTTGGATGCCGGCTCAGTGATCTAATGGTTAAGTGCTCGCGCGCGAAGCCAGTAGGTCCTGGGTTCGAATCCCGCGAGGTGCGGGGTCGTGGATGCGCACTGCTGAAGAGTTCCATACTAGGACGAGACGGCCGTCCAATGCTTCCAGGTTTTCCATGGTGGTCTAGCTTCAATTGACTCATGATTTCAACTTGTGAAAGTAATCTAGGATTGTCAATTTTTAAACAATTCTACGAAATTTCTAAGCGCGTTTTAGATTGAAAGTACTTGCACCTTTGTCAAATATTCGTATCAGGACTTGAAACGAGTACCTTGCTTTTCAAACGTACAACCCATCATTCATCTGGACACTGAGTTGAAATAACCATTATCTTGTGCAATGGGCATAGAAGTTAATTTCACTTATTTGAATTTCAAATAGGATAATAAAACTTCTAGTCACTATCAAAACATTGTTTAAAAATGATTGTAAGTTAGTGAAGCCAATCTGATCAGGATACACAAATCATAAAAGAGACTGATCAGTTGAAGCAATTAATATCAACAACGAAAAGACTTAAATCCTTACAAGTGAAACTGAGTTCCTCAAAATATTTTTACTGGTTATGAAAATATAATAAAACAAATAATAAAAAGAAAGTATAACTTAAAAAATGACTACGCGAATGGAACGTTAATTTACCTTAGACAAATGTTAACACTAGATACCCTTCCTACAGAACAACTCAGATCAAGAACACGTGACTAACTTGACTAAAACATAAGTATATTCCACAACAAAAACCGAAAGTAAAACCAACGATAATAAGGGTAGGAAAATATATAACTTATATAATACCCGTCAAACTATCTACTAGTCTGACTAAGCAAACAACCAATCATTATTTTCCTCGCCCACACATCATAAAGACAAAGCATTTTATCGTTTTTTCATGGTACACTCATAAATCTTGATCGACAACACGATTAGGAAAAACGTAATCTATGTTAGGCTCTGCAAAGTTCAAAACCATAGATTACGACCGCCACGTACATTTTAAACCGAGTTCCCCACTTCCCCTTTAATTTATATCAATAATCGATGACCTCATAGAATGATACGTTGTCTTAAGTTGAACAAACCCAGTTTTTCCAACCTAGTTTTATGCTAGCAAATATAGAATATCGAGTTTGACGGTGAATAGCTCATGTAAATCATGTTTTTCAAACACTTAAGTTGATAAGAATTTACAGCCCCATCATTTGATGTACTAACTCAAAGTAGCACACTACATTTAGTCATACTTGATAGTGCTATTATAAACCTACATCGGTTTGGGAAATCCAGAAACAGTACATGAATCTATACCTTGTAAACGAGCAAGCATCAATGAAGAGAACTTAGTCAGGATTCAAAGGTCCATACTTCAAAAGTCAATTAATTTGTTCATGTATCAGAACGAAAGCTATTCAGTACTTTTTGGTTTCGAATTGTCCGTTAGTTTATATCATTTGATGATGAGAAATAATTTTGAATTGAAAGATCTTTATAAACGTCTTTTCCTAATAACCTCTTTAAGATGAATAAAAAGAATTGATAAAATCAACACAATATAATATTTAGACTAGTCTGTTTGTATTATATTAATCTTAAAAATAAGATTGATCTTGTGAATAAATGAAGACTAGGAAATTCGTACTTAGCCTGAACAACACATGTACAAAGCAATTAAACTGTGAAATATCTAAATAAATAACGAAAAAAAATTTTAGTGAAAAAAAAACAACAATGAGAAAACGAACTTGATCCAATGCATATTGAAATATTAAACGATTAGCTGTAATATTAGCTAAAAGTCTACCAACTGGTTCGATTAAATCTTCACGACGTGATTGCCTTGCTAATTGTCTAAGTCGGATATAACAACGATGGTATAATGTATTACAATCGACTAAACCTGAAAAGTACAAATGAAACCAAGTAGTTTGTAATAAGTAAAAAAAGAGAAGAATATTACTGAAAAAAAATTTAGTCCAGTTGTCAATATAATAAAACAGGATCAAAGTTGTAAAACACGAAATATGGTATAGTATGGAATAAAATGTAATCAGTTAGAAAGATACTATTCAAGATGATCGATTAGACGAAATAATAAACAAATACCACTCACCATCTTCCACAAAGTTTGACGCATGGGTTACATATACATTTTTTACATACGGTTGAAGCCATCGGTATCAACCGTGAAAAAAACATGACCTCAGAGTGCGTGAGAACTTTGTACACCGATTCCCTTACCTTGGATAGCAAAATAGGCACTACTAAAGTGGCTGACAAATGAATTATTACACTCGCTATTCTTCCAACGTCTCTCATTTGAAATTCTTATTCTACTATTATTTTACAGCTGCAACATTATATTTACGCCTGTATAACATATTACAATATGTCAACTATCGATTTGGTGAAATGAAAGCTTAGTGGCCACGTCGTTTAATTTATTGATTAATATCCCATCAATTCGATAAATACATGTTCCAATCCATTTAGTTACTAATACCTTTCAATAGTAATTACTTTATTTACTTTATGTTTAAATTAATTTGTTATTCATTTATAATTAGTTCCAAAGACATTTTGATTTGTAATATTGTTATCTGACATAGTATCGTTTGATTAACGTTGAGTTCATCATTATTAATAGGCATACATAATGATGTGGAGCCACGATGAAAAATTAAGTGAAAAGAAATACTTTTTTGCTAATTTCGTTTTGTTTTCCAAAACAACAATATATTACGCACTTTTGAACAGTTACTTTATCAAATGAATAGGATAGGCTAATTCAGTAGCTAGCTAATACAATTCAGTAACGAGACAACATTTTTAGTAAGAAGGTTGTGATATAAGTGGGATTGCAGTCCAGTTTTTGAAATTCAATTGATCTAAGCCACCTTGTTCTAGATCGAAATATTCAGACAAAGTCTTTCAGCATATCAAGAGAACAGACATTTATTTAGGTGCAAAATAATAGACCTTTTCGATATAATTAAAACAGAATGAAACTTAATCATTTTTATGAATATACAGGCATGAAATCACGTAGCATTTTAAAAAATTAGTATACCCAAATGCCCTGGTATGGCCGAAAGCTAGGTGGCCCCACCGTGCCTCTCAAAACGCTCTCACACACGGCCATGCGTATACAGCCTCTGCCAGGGAAGTCCTACTCACTGCCTTCTCGCACCACGGATGTCGTTTACGGAAATGGGAGAACGGAAAGCGAATGTCCGGTGCTTTAAACGGATACCAAACCAATTTTGCACAAGGGCTCCAGTAACCTGCGGGAACAAATGGCGTATGAACCAATCGTTGGTCACCGGCTACCATGGTAATGCATCTCCTTACGATGCTCCACTGCCTTGTGGGTCAGACCTTTAAGCGCCCTAAGAAAACCACCGTCGGTCTGGGCATTCGGGCGGTATCACAGCCCACACACAAATATGATGAAATCTCGATATTTATGGAAAATACAGGTTGCAGGACAGATAATGAAGACCGTTTACTGCAACTGTGCACAGACCACAACCTGTTTCTGGTTAGCACCAACTTTCAGCACAGTCATCGCCGATGTGCCAACTGGCATCCTCCCTCTGCATCTCAAGCCTAGATTCAGATTGATCACATCGCGATCAGCTACCGGACGTGTTGTGTACAAGAATACTGCTCCTTTTGGAGTATCTATCTGAACTCTGATCATATCCTGGTATGCGCCAATCTTACCTTACTTTTCAGTGGATAACGAAGTGACCGCCACCAAAGGATTGATGTCAGCAAGTTGGTTGCAACTCCTGTTGCTAGTAAGTATCGAACCGAGCTAGCTTCTAGGCTAGCTACCATTCCACCGAAAAGTATAGATGAGCATTGAATGCAATTGCATGACGCCATGAAAATGGCGAGTAAATCCGCTTACAGCTTCGCGAAACGACCCGCTTATAAGCACTGGGTTTCTACAGGTTCCTTACAAATCATTGAAGCCCATCTATCTACTCCCGGTAACCATTAGTTTGACAAAAAACGAAAGATGTTACGTAATGAAATCGAGCAAATTTTGCGTAAGGAACAAGAAGCCTGCTAATGAGCTGGAAGCAGCAGCTGCATCTGGTAACTACCGGAAGCTCTTCCAACTCATCCGAGCCACTGGCAGCAAGAGTTCTAGTGTGAGCGAAACAATGTGTAACAACTATCGGAGGATAAGTCTACTTCCGATTGCGTCCAAGCTATTGACTTCCGTCATACTTCGTAGGTTGTTCAAAACCCGAGAAAAATTGACTCGCGAGGAGCAGGCTGGGTTTCGTTCTGGTCGAGGTTGTATTGATCATATCTTCACCCTCCGCCAAATGTTAGAACACCGCCATACTTATCAAAGGCCAACAATCGTAGTGTTTCTTGACATCAGGGCTGCCTTCGATTCGTTGGACAGGACTGTTCTCTGGGATTGTCTATTGAAGAAGGGTGTGCCTGAGAAGTTTATTAACATCCTAAAAGCCCTATATAAAAACACCTCAGGCAGAGTGAAGGCATACAACCACCTCTCTCCATTGTTCCATTCGAGCAGTGGGGTTAGGTAGGGTTGCCCGATCTCACCATCCCTCTTCAACTTAGCCATCGACGACATTCTGGAAACAGCTCTGATAGATGTAAGTAATGGTGGTGTGGATCTGTTGCCTGGAGAAAGACTTCTCGACCTTGAGTATGCGGATGATATAGTCGAAAAGTTCGTACATTTAGGTAGCTGCATAAGTGCTGGTGGTGGCGTGAGTGATGAGATCAATGCACGTACAGTGAGAGTAGTTTCGCTCTATGTTTGTGAAACCTGGCCTCTCCGAGTTGAGGATATAGACGACTCTCTGTATTCGATCATCGTTGTCTCCGAAGGATTGCTGACATCCAGTGGCAACACCATGTTAGTAATGCAGAGGTTCAGCATCGTGTATTCGGGCACAGAGACAATAATCCAATTTGTGCCATCACCTTGAAACACCGACTTCGGTGGCTTGGACATGTTCTACGAATGTCGTCTCAGAGAATTCCATGTCGTGCATTATTTGCCGACACTGAGACTGGTTAGAAAAGGCGGAGAGGTGGTCAGTGTATGATATGGTGTCGTGGTATGAAAGAAAGATGCAAAGGACTGGCCTGTGTTGGTCCTTCACGACTCCCTGGCTGGGGGTCCGAGAGATGATGCAACACAGTGGCTAGAGACGTTATCAGATATGACTCAGAATAGAAGCCAGTGGCGATCCTGCTGTACCCTTCTTTTTCTTTCTCCATGAAAAGTGATTGTAACTTCTTTAACTGAAATAACTCTTTCCGGTTGTAGCTTTCCATTTCCCCCATTAATATTATTATTATTGATACGAATATTCGTCAAGATTTGAATGAATAGTTTGACAGAGATTGGGCGCCGAGTAAGGAGAAGACATTATATATGAGAACTATATTTGAAGTAATCTCAGCGATTGAAGTTTAAATAATTTCAACGTTTCGTCCAGATAATTTGTCTAGACTTCTTCAGGGTAAGAATCAAAATCAAAAACATCAAGGTGAAGGACAAGTTACCGAAGGAAGAACAACAGAATATTGTGTATGAGATCACCTTTCATGATTGTAATGCAGCCTATGTTGGAGAAACATCCAGACAATTGAATGTAAAATTGAAGGAACACAAACAATGTTTGAAAAATGTTCCCAAATCCTCGGTTGATTTCAAGAAACTTGAGAATAAATCTGCGATAGCTTTACATGCATTAGAAACAGGACACAAGATTAATTTTGAAGAGACCAAAGTACTTCAGAGAGGTTTTAACACCCATAAAGAAAGATTGACAGCAGAAGCGCTGCATATATGAGCGAACAAGAACAGCCTGAACCGAAAAGATGTTATTCAACTTGCGACTACCTAGCAAATTTCGTTATGACAAGAAATTTGAACCCTATCTTTATTCAACCTGTTTATTTCACATGGATCGTTATTTTTGACTGATTTCAATGAGTTTTTTAGCAATACAATTTCGGTATTTTATGTGAAAATTATATTTGAAATATTCTCAGCGATTGAAATTTAAATAATTTCAACGTTTCGTCCAGCCAACTTGTCTGGACTTCTTCAGGGTAATAATCAAAGTTAGCTGGACGAAAAACGTTGGAATTATTTAAATTTCAATCCCTGAAATCATTTCAAATATAATTTTCACATATGATGACTTCTCTATACTCGACGCTCAATTTCTGTCAAACTATTCGTTCTAATCTTGACGAAACGTTAGAATTATTTAAATTTCAATCGCTGAGAATATTTCAAATATAATTTTCACATATATTATTATTACTACACTAAATAAATAAATAGACCTAGATACGAATGAAGATAAATGGTGAAAGGAATTAAAACACACTATGACGATGAAAAACCTCGGCAACATCATCGATGAACAAGGAGGATCCGATGTAGACGTGAAAGCAAGGATTGACAAAGGGTAGCATTCCTACAGTTGAAGAACATATGGAACTAAAAACAACTGTCAACTAATATCAAAGTCACAATCTTCAATACGAACGTCAAGACAGTTCCACTGTACGGAGATGGAACTTGGAGAACTACCACAAACATCATCAAAAATGTACAAGTATTTATAAACAATTATCTAAGCAAAATACTCAATATCCGTTCGCTTGATACAATCGGCAACAGCCTACAATGGGAGAGAACAGACCAGCTTTCCAATCAAGAGGAAATTCGAAAAAGACGATGAAAGTGGATGGGACATAAATTGTGGAAATTATAAAACTGTATCACAATGCCAGCGTTAACATGTAATACTGAAGACAAAAGGAAAAGAGGAAAACCCACAAACACACTGTACTAAGAATCGGAAGCAGACATGGAAGCGATAAATCGAGACTGGATACAACTGGTAAGAATTGACCAGGAGAGAATCAGATGGAGAATGCTGGTGGGCGGCCGTTGCTCCTCCGTAAGGAGTAACAGGCGTAAGTAAGTACGACAATGAAAACGAAGTTTGCAGGTTGTCAGGTAAAAATGAAGCATTTGAAACTATATACGGAAGCTATTTTAGTACTAATTGCGTTTTGAACGCAAAATGGTAACAATTTGTTGTTAAATTTTGAAAGTATGACGAAAAATATGACACTTACGTCTTCTTGCAGTGGGTGTAGATTTTAGACGACCGTTTTGAAAGGCTTTTTTAACTTGATCAAAAACATATTCCAAGTAATAAAGAACACGTCGATAAAGTACAATTTGTTCAACAATTCTAAAAGCCAAATGAAAAAAAGCAATACTTTAGTGATAACGAATTGGGGTCTAAAAATTTGAGATGAACGTACAGAGATTACATTCGTGTTCATTAGTAAACATAAGGACAAAAAATTGCGACAATACCAGATTAAAGCAGAGCTGGTAGGTAGTTGGTAGTGAAATCCGGGACACGCTTTACGTCCTATGCAAGATTCGTCAGCTGGATGTACCTGTAACCCAGATTTGATGTTGTCTCTGGGATTTGAATCCAGTATGATGTGTGCTACTCGTACGGACAGTTATAAGTAGCATGTATCAGGAATTGGAAGTATAATTCATACGGACAGAAAAAGGGAATGAAGAAAAGAGAAAAGAAAAAAGAAAGAAAGCGAAGTAACAACAGGAATAGAAGAACGATGGAGTTGTAGGCGACAACTCAAGGAAGATGTGCAAATAGTATACTTAATGTATTGTTTTCATATTTTACAAAATCGGCGTGTGATTTTCATGATAGAATAATTTGGTTTACTGTAAACGACTTCGTTCATTACATTCGTTTTCGTCTTGAACGTCGAACAATCCAGATTAAAGTGCTCTTGATATAACGACAAGATCGAAACAATCAGCATAGGATGCACAACCACCTGCTTCGGTCTGGGAACCCACGCAGTATCACAACCCACACACAAATCAAGTGACTTGTGTGGCGCATATGTATGCGGTGCCCCTTCGTACTAATATTTATGTGTTCAAATGAATAAATTTAGATTTAGTGTTCATACACTAATCCCATTTTCAAAAGGCTAATTTAGTCTATTGCTACTTAAATTAGATTTTATTTCAACCTTAATCATCAACCTTATATAAATTGATACCAACAATATAAATGAGTAACCATACACAATTTTATAAGTTGGGTATTGTGCAATAACCGTGATCAGTGGTTGGAGATACGCACTTTATTTTTGGTTTTTTGAACTATATTAATCTTTCCCACTATTATTATTACCATTATATTGTTTCGGCACGTTTGTTATTCATCTTGATAATTTCATTGCGTCGAACTAATGGAATATGGCAGCTTCGTATGAAGTATATTTGTGTGAGGCTCTATGCTGATTATCATTAGCTCTGTTTGACTAAACTTTGAGGTTTATATTCCACCACAACTCTAACTCAAATCGAATTAGGTAGTTGACATATATAATATCTGAACCACTAAGACAAATTTCTAAACACGGTATCAACTAAGAACTCAGCAATCAAAGCAATTTTAGACGATTCAACAACAACAACAAAAATACTCCATACATTTTAATTTACATTGGGAAAGAGAAGAAAAGTGGTAAGAACGAAATAAATCAGATCTATTCAGGCATTCATTTAATGAACTAATTCATGACACTTTTTTAGATGCTTTTATGATTACTTCAAATACTATAAAAATTGTCCCTAAATTAGGGTTATCATTAACATGAGTGTCACTTTTTATTTAGCATAGTTTAATGACAATAAGTGCATAATAAATACCGTTTTCAACTGTGAATGGCATAATTGACAAATAAGTTGATTTAGAATGGTTAATCGGAAAAGAATTTCTTAGAGTTAATTCAGCTAAACTTGTATAATCATTTATTATTTGATGTAATCTGTAGATTATTCTGCTTAAGTGTAATTTAAATTTTAGGGTCAGACATGAACATTTTAGGCTTTGAATAAAATAGAATAAAAAGTTTGGATCTTTTTAAACACTATCACTAACAAAACGTTATTTTAGCAAGTTGGAATGTACAAACCGAAACGTGGCAATAGTCCATAAAAAGTTATTAACTGTTGATTACAGCCATATTGGTAGACGTCAACTAGATGATTGGAGTCGGTGTGATAACGCCGATGATTGGTTGGACACATGTTTATTTTATTTATTTATTTGAGCACATAAATATTGGTAAAAGAGAGCGCCAATATATATGCGCCACACAAAACAATGAAAATTCGAAGAGAGAAAAGAAAAAGAAAAAAAACTAAGGAGCACAAAAGAAAAAGAGAACGATAACAAAGAGATTGGTGAAAGGTAGTGCGGTCGTAACGATGGAACGGAAAGGTACAATCAGAAGAAATCTTTCAAGTAAGGGAGACACAACCACTTTTTATGAAGAAAGTAAAAGAAGGTTACAGCAGGATCGCCACTGGCTTCTATTCTGAGCAATATCTGATAACGTCTCTAGCCACTGTGTAGCACCATCTCTCAGACCCCAACCAGGGAGTCGTGAAGGACCGACAGAAGCCAGTCCTTTGCAGCTTTCTTTCATACCACGGCACCATGTCATGCACTGACCACCTCTCCGCTTTTTCCAACCAGTCCCAGAGTTGGCAAATAATGCACGACAACGAATTCTCTGGGACGACATTCGTAGAACATGTCCAAGCCACCGAAGTCGGTGTTCCAAGATGGTGACACCAATTGAATTATCATCTCTGTGCCCAAACACACGATGCCGAACCTCTTCATTACTGACATGGTGTTGCCACTGAATGTCAGCAATCCTTCGGAGACAGCGATGATCGAACACAGAGAGTCGTCTAACGTCCTCAACTCGGAGAGGCCAGGTTTCACAAGCATAGAGCAAAACTGCTCTCACCGACGCGTTGTAGATCCGACCTTTTACAGCCAGACTAACATCACGAAGGCGCCAAAGGTGGCCCAGATTGGCATAAGCCGCTCTGGCTTTCACTATACGTGCATTGATCTCATCACTCACACCCCCACCAGCACTTATGCAGCTACCCAGATACACGAACTTCTCGACTACGTCTATCTGCTCACCATCCAGGGTGAGTACAGGATTAGAATCCTGCCAGTCTTGTAGAAGTACTTTGCACTTCGAAGGTGCAAAGCACATACCATACCTACGGACACTGATTGCCAACTGATTAAGTGCGGATCGCATGCCTTGGGCATCATCACACAGTAAGACAATATCGTCCGCATACTCAAGGTCGAGAAGTCTTTCTCCAGGCAACAGATCCACACCACCATTACTTACATTCATCAGAGCTGTTTCCAGAATGTCATCGATGGCAAAGTTGAAGAGGAATGGTGAGATTGGGCAACCCTGCCTAACCCCACTACTCGTATAGAACAATGGAGAGAGGTGGTTGTATGCCCTCACTCTGCCTGAGGTGTTTTTATATAGGGCTTTTAGGATGTTAATAAACTTCTCAGGCACACCCTTCTTCAATAGACAATCCCAGAGAACAGTCCTGTCCAACGAATCGAAGGCAGCCCTGATGTCAAGAAACACTACGATTGTTGGCCTTTGATAAGTATGGCGATGTTCTAACATTTGGCGGAGGGTGAAGATATGATCAATACAACCTCGACCAGAACGAAACCCAGCCTGCTCCTCGCGAGTCAATCTTTCTCGGGTTTTGAACAGCCTACGAAGTATGACGGAAGCCAATAGCTTGGACGCAATCGGAAGTAGACTTATCCCCCGATAGTTGTTGGACACATGAGGTAACACTGATTCAAAATTAGTCACAATTTTCCATACCCGTTTACTCCTTATTTTCCTATCGATCTTCGATTCCAGTATTCCTTCATAAATACCTTTTCCACTGCCTTTTTGAACCATATTCTCAAAGTTTAAACTTTTTCATTATCATTCCTACCACATTATTTGGATTTCTTTAGCTAGTAATCTAACTGATTTCATTTCATCGTGCTTATGTAGTATGACGACTTTGGTTGACCACATATGTACCGAGCTAGCTCTATGTTGATTATAAATGATTATGACTGACTTTGAACAAATGAAAAAACTAGTGCAATCTAAAGAAAAAGAAGTTGATGAAAACATGAAAAACAAATAATATTTACAACAGAAATTAGAATTATCAAGAGTATTACGGTCTAAAGTAATAATACTAAACCACCGTATTTATATAGTTTCGAAAGAGATACCAATCTCATGAAATAGTTGAATCATAAAACTTAACCAAATGTGAATAAAATTGAAACGAATTGCAAAATTCATAAAAATATATGCACATAGTTGTTAGAACTCTCTACTCGAATTACATTACATAACATACCTTTGAGCTTCAGACACGAATTTCAATGCAGTGGATGATGCTTGTTGACAATTTTTGCTTGTATCCTGTTCATCATTATTACTATTATTAATATAACTGCCAACAGAATGATTATTATCAAGACTATTAGTATTCGACGAACATTTAGTTTGTTGATTGTCCAGCTTAACTAGTGATACACCATCATTAACAGCAGAAGGATCTGTAGTGGTTGTTTTACTATCATTATCTGTATTTACAACACGTGTTGGAGTACAATCAGCTAGTGCAGATGCTCGACGTTCAGCTAATTCTGCTAATAATTCACACAATTCTAGGACCATTGTAATTTTCTTAATTTCTTCATTATGTTCGGACTATTTAATTAAATAATTCATAGAAATCAATAAAAATGAAAGGAATTTATGTCTGTTTCTTATTTACTGAATGGATATTCTAATGTTGATTAAAAACAAAATTATCAATAATGTAAGAAAATCTAAAGACAAAAATCCCAACTACATCCGTTTTTTTCTGTTATTTTCAAAGAACGATAATTTTACCGACTAAAAATATACGTAACGTTCCAAAAGTTGAAAAAGTGCATTATATTAATTAGTATCAGTTATTTTTGAATTTAATGAGTGAGTTTTACCACAAGCATCTAAAGTTGACTGCAACTGTTTATCATGAAAATGTCAGTGTAATGCAGTAAAACATGCCAAATGGTAATGGTTACGGGTCGAAATGGAACCCCTAATGATATATATATATATATATATATATATATATATATATATATATATATATATATATATGATAAAAGTTCAAAAAAGGTGATTCGACTAGTGAAATACATAAAAATGAGCGCTATAGTTGACAGATTTATCCTAAACAATTCTGGATTACGATTCAATTTAAAATTGACTTATCTTTTTAGGAGGAAACGATAAACACACTTAGTGCAAAGTGTTTCTTACCACCCAAGAATTCATTTTCATAGCACAAATAACTTTTAAACAAGAACTGGTGAGAAACATTACAACTAAATTTTTGAATTATTAGCAGCAATTACAGTTAATAATTTGTTAGCAGAAGGAATTTGAGATTATTGAGTTTCAAAGTTTGCATTACGAACTGACCCTCGTGAGACTACCGTTAAAAACTAGGAAGCTCTAGACAGCTGCTTCATCCTAGTATAAGACTAATCATTGAAGAGCAACCACAACTTGGTTGGGGATAGAACCCAGAACCATTAGGTGTCTAAATGAGAGCTCATAGTTATGACAACTAAGTTGGTATCGAATTCTTCAGTTTTATAACTTCAGACAATTCGTGATATTGCTCGATCATCAAGTGTTCCCACTCGAGATATCTGCGTCATAATGGATATGGATAGACTCTTCCGTTCACAGGCTCTCGATAAAAAAACTGCAGGAATTACCTTACGAAGCTTCTGGCTTCCAATGACTGTCTAAAGTTAGTACGTGATGTAAACCGTAAAAAAAACTTTTTATTCCATTTCCAAGACGTTTATGAAACAACAACATAAGAATATCATACACATAGTTCCTTTTATCATTTTGAAAAGAACAAGAACAAAGATTCTAGCAGAATGTTTGTTCTTTCTTTTTTCAAATTAAAAAATTATTAGAGAAAAATGTGTTTCAATCTTTTCTATTCTAAAAAGGTTGAATTTATAAGCAAACAACAAATACAACAAATGGATTATTGAACAAAGATCTATCGAATGAACTGCTAACCTCCATTAAAATTTCATCTGAAAATTCTGCAGCTTCCCACAAACCACCGGATGTTAAATCATTCTCGAAATTTCTACCTGTAGCTAAGAAGAAAGAATAAATACAATGACTGAATAAGCAAATAACAAAAAGAAATCCTGTCTATAAATCTAGAAGATATGAGATTCTAAAAGATTTCATTGAACGACAGATATACGCACAAAAAAACGGTCTAGTAAGCTATAGCTATAAATATATATAAATTTAAGAAAAGAATTAACCATAATAGAAATCCTTAGTTTAAAACGTTCAATTGACATAGTTTTACAATTTTTGGAAGCTTAATGCATTTTGAAGCCCTTGGATCGAAACTCAATAGAAGATAAATTTGAATAATACGGAAAGCAATCAGAATGAGAAAAGAGCGAGTGATAAAAAAATTCTTGGTTTGACAAAGAATGTACCGTTGTGCTGCTAATATTTTTAAAGCGTGTATACGTACTAAGAATTGTGCATACACCAGTAAATGACACCTGATGTGCAAGGGTTAAGCAAGCTGTTTATATATTAAATTGAAACAGGTATACCATGATCTGAAGACGTGAACAGAATGACTGAATGTTAACCAATATATATTAAATTTTTCTGGGAGTATGATATGACGTCCAAGAATTAAGACTGACGATCAGGTTCTAATTGATTGTAGAGTAAGAGTCCTACAGACAAATTTGCTCTGTACACCTGTAACAATTTATGTTTATTTTATGTTCATATTTTGTATATATGCATGTCATTTTACTACATAATAAAAACCTATTCCTTTAGCTAGTGTTTATGTTTTAGATTACAATTGACTAAAAAAAGCTATCTTATGAGCACCCGGCCCTCAGTCACATTGTACCATTCCATATCGTTTCATAGATCAGTATTATTTTATTTTAACAATCGAAAAAAACTGTTTATCTTATCGATAAAAGAATGAAATTGAGATATTTGTATTTCGATGAATAGACTACTGCTGTGGGCATGTATAGAAGTTCTCCTACTAATACAGGAAAGAAAAATATTGCATTACTAGAGAGGTTTTAGTTTCAAAAGTTTGTTTATTTAAAAAAATTATATGTGTTGATTTTACTTATTCTATGTTTGAAGAGACTACGAAGGAAGACTCGGTGACACAATAACCAATTCAGGTAACCACTCTGACGCGTCCCAGTTCTGCTAACTAGAGAGAGAAGTCCAAGTTCAGAAGAGGGAAATGTATTCCACAAGCAGTCAGAAGCACGAACAACAACAACAATAAGCGCAACTTAAGCGTATATATACAGCATAAAAATGTCCTTGTGAAACGTTACAAAATAGCATATTAAAAGAGGCAGAAAACCAATAGCATTTAAGGTCCTCCCAAGTGACATGAAGGTGAAAATAAGTGCTTTCGGCACGAAAACAAGAAATTGAACTTTTTAAAAATAGAATTACGAAAATGAGACATTTACATAGTGAGTATTGGGGATTTAACATCCCTAACAACTTGAATATATTCAAGCATAAAACTTTATTGGATCAAAATACACATACCATATTCACAAATATTTATCAGTAAATGATTGACGGCAATTTTCTACAAAAACTGTTTGTGTTTACCAGTGATATGGGATTTAGTATCCCAAACAATAGTAATTTTAATGGTTACTTTATTTAATGTAAGCGAATACTTGTGCAATGGAACACACCACACAAATAAGTAAATGTAATCGTAAAAAGATAGAAGGGTGTGAAATTGAAAAACCGAAATAAAAAGTGGGCGAGAATCGTTTATAATAGTCATTAAGTTTAAACATTACTAGGAAGTTTGTGGTAGATAACCGAGCTCATGTAGATAACACAAAATACCACTAGAGACTTTAAGAAATAGGGTTCAGGTATGTTCACTAGTTTCATATATCCAGTGGTTAAGAAAAAGGTTTGAGAATGCATAGATAACAAACGACATTGAATGAAAACCGAGGATAAAGTTAGGTTTGAATGAATCACTAGCGATTTATAAATTAAATGTTTTACAAATGGGAGTCATGCAGTGATTCATATCTAATTGGCCTAGCGCACCTTGATAAATGTTCTTACAGATATACAAGATAAATATACTTCATCGCAAAATAGTAAAAAAAAAATACACAACTAACTAAAATAACAGGTTGTTTTAACTAGTCATAAGCCTACAGCCTGATTGATATATGTATTTCAAAATGTTGTCCTTTTACTTTTCTTCTTCTATATGTTTCACTTTGTTGATTGTAATTCAATGACTAAGTGTAACGGACGCATAATTTTTATTCACAAAATCGTGGATCAGAAATCAACTCGGGTATATTTCAAGTGAATAGCTCTGAATTATAATTAATTCTATCATAATAGTGTTACTTATAATGCAATAGTAAACAAAACATGTAAATCGATCCGTTATTGAACAGTGTTTATGGAATTATGAAAAAGAACCAGCATGGATAATGTTGTTTCCAGACAGTAATAATAAACAAAAATTATGATCTACGAATCCATGAATTATTATTATGGTCTGCTATTCAATTATTGTACACATTGAAATATTCCTAATATTCAAAACGGTAGGGATGATAATGATGATAATAACAACAATGATAATAAAAGACTGTATGATGACCGCTAAGACTAAATATTTATTCCATTTAAGTTTATTGATTGAGAATATTATTTAGAAATACTTCAGTGATTATGGGTTGGTGTCTTAATAGTTTTACTGAAAAGGTGATAAACATCGTTGTACATTATTTTGATCACATCAGATTAAAGTAGGTTAATTTAATTCATGAGACTTTGCACAAAAATGAAAGCTTACCGATAACAGGATAAACACCATCTACACCTTGAACAGCGATAGTTTGTAAACCAGAAGGATGAATAAATTGTCTATTGTTAGTTTGATAAGTAATTTGTTGTAAGGTAGTTCCAGTTTTACTCAAATTCAAATTACTCATCACAGGTTCCATATAGGATATTTTCGGTTCAGTATTGTGATGAGAAAGAGATGACAAGTTCCCTTCATTAATTTGAGTTCCATGAGATTTATCTTCTAACAAAAAAATTTTCGACAAAGGCCATAGAGAAATAATCGTAAAAATGTTGTCAAAGTGGCTAAACTAACTTTCGTTACAAAATAATTTTATAAAAACGTGGTACACAAACCAACAAACGGATCATCTATATATATATATATATATATATATATATATATATATATATATATATATATATATGTATCAGAAATCACGAGAATATTGAGGCCGATTGGATTTGGTGTAGCACACAAACCAGAAAAATCATTTCAATCAATACTATGCAAACCAAAGGAGGAAATAACAAAAAAAGAATAATCGGACGTCATCCACAAAATAAATTAATCCAAAAACCACTAAATTGGATAAAGCAGACGACCCTTTCATCTTCACCTGCACGAACACCAATTAGCAGTCAAACACCATGACATATCCTCACTTATATCAATGCATCTGGACATACATTCAACTGGAAAAATGTTGAAATCTTGGATGGAGGTAATACTAAGAGCACCAGGGAATTTTTAGAAGCTTGATATTCAGGTCAACCAGTAATCAACAAACACATCAAAATCGATCTAATCTACCAACCAATCAGTAAAATCATGGACAAATATAGGACTAACGATCAGATCAAAGGGAGATCCAATCAAAATAAAGAGGCAGACACCGACAGGTTAAGGATCAACAATAACCAACCGAGATAGAGGTCGACAGGACAAGCTGTGAGTCGCAAGTGGAGAAATCCGAACGCTTCACTTCTACCTGACGTTAGTGATGATGATGTTGTTCAGAAGAATAATGGAAGCTCCATGACCAAACCATTCAGCTCAGAAAACAAAACTCTACCTAAATCATCCACCTGAGCAACAAATCCTTTCTACCATCTCAAATAGCATTACATACACATACTATTTGCCAACATTATATGATTGAACTTATTACTATTCATACGAATATCTTAGTATTTGTTTGAAATCAATTTCTCTTAAATTGGATAGTAACTAACAGTAGAATGCAAAACATCTATTTTGTTATATACGTAACTCTTATTTGTACATCTAATTAAACACAAAAGTAATGAAAGTTTTAATCTGTTTCTCAATAAAATTTAACTAAAATATGTCAAAACAAAGAAATTGAGGGGAAAATATTTGTTTTTAGTTAGTTACTTATCAAAGCTCTATATTAAAATATAAATTATACAAGTAAATATAAAATCAATATCAAAAGAAATGGTAGTGAGTCAAGTTAACATTATCATAATCAGTTAGTAACAATTTAGAATAGCAAATAAAAATAGGATAATCATATAACAATCTACAATTTAGCATCATCGAATGACTTCAGTTAGACAACTAATGAAAACTAAGAAGCATTTGACAGCGATTTTATCTTAGTATTAGACTCCGTATCAATGTGAGTTTATGACCCCACTAGGTGATTGAACTCAGGACCTTTAGACCTCATGATGAGTACTTACTTAACTTTTGAAATCCAATGGTTGTCAATTTTAAGTACAACCGATTCGTGATATTGTTCAGCCATTACGTGTCACCATTAGAAATATTTGTCCCATGCTCGATATCTATTGGCTTGTGGAATAATTATGCCACCGTAAATATATGGCATTTTGTGCATATTTGACTGAAAGCTTATCATCATCTCTTTTGTGATTGTTAACTATGTTATATTGGTTAATGTTAAACTACAACATTCGAAACTAGCTGTTACAGTATAATTAAATAGATGTGTTCAAAATTTAGGTGATAAAAAATAATTAAAGTCAGTTTTCTTTGCAGATGAAAAATAAAAATGACCAGGTAAGTTTTATATCACTAACAAAGTAGGTGACAGGTATTGAGTCTGATTAATCGAAATAAGGAGTAACGTTTTGGTGATTTGCCTTGAAAACACCTACGTCACAGAGAAATATTTTCATTCATAGTAGCCCATAATAACGACACACATTTTTCGAATTTGAAATTTCTTGTTGAAATCTTAAGCTAAAATGAGTTAAGATCGAAAACAATTAACCTGTTTCTTGGTTAATCTATGATGAGTTAGAGCCTAACACTCAAAAACTCATATAAAATCCAAAGAGTAATACATAGGGAACTATCAAAATTTCTTAGATCTTAATGACAACAAATTAATAGATCCAATAATTTGAACACACGAATCACTACTGTACTTCCTAAAATATCCATTGGAACTAAACATTTATTATTTAACAGTTTATTCCAGTATAACAACTGCTTAAATGAATCTATCAAGCCTTAGAAACAATAAAAGGATAAAACAATCTAATGTGATTAATCAGATTTTCTCTATAAACATTTAAAAAAAGGTTAAAAACAGTTACTGTTAGTAGAGTAATACTTATCATTAAAGCTAAAATTATTTGTATGGTAAACAGAGTTATTTTTTAATGAAAATTATTCATTTTATCTACATAAAAGATAATGAAGTAAACTGATATTTCAAAATAATAAAACAGCATTCTACAGGATCGATGTCATGTGAATGAACAGTATCAGAGGGGGAGGGAGAGAGCGGGATACAAAAAATCCATTTTTTGTGACTATAAATGTCGATATGATATTATGTCGTTTGAAAAAATCAACCCATTTGGTTAGCCGAAATAACATCAAAGAAAATGCAAGTAAGCCAGAGAGAGAGAGAGAGACAGAAAGAAAAGAACATTTGTAACTATTCTAAAAAAAACATTCACTTCACTTATCTGTTGCTGAGTTTTTCAAGACCATAGTAGTTTTTGTACAGAACATGATAAAATAGTATTAATACAAAGATAGTATAGTAAACACCAATTAATCACAAATTTTGTTGAAGCATTTATTAAACAACAAGAAAACCGCAAACATAAAACAATTTTAATCACCAATAGGAATTAACTATTAATCACAATTAATACAAGTATTAGTTGACAGAGGATAATAAATAAACAAATAAATAAATACTAACTTGTATAATCAGTTGATCCCTTTGTTGGTTCTGATATAGGTTGAGTATTATACTTGTGACTAGTTGGAGAATTTCGAGAATTGACTGGCAGCTAAAGGGTAAAAACAAAAACTTTGTCAAAGCAATAAACACATCTGGACATAATATTTATTAAGGGCATGAATTATTCTGTTGTTGCTATTTTGGACTGTATTTTGATTAGTTGGGATAATTCATACCCTTACTAATAACGATATAAATACAACACCAGTTGAATAAATCAATGGCTATCCGGAGTCAATAGCTAAGTGAACAACGAGTAGAAGCATGGAGTTATGGATTTTGAAAACAATAGAATACATCCCACGTGAACGACAGAATTACGTTGATATCAAAGGAAAAGCAACAGTAAAAAGTGAATGTATATTGTTTGAACACAAACGTGATTCACAAATGATTTCGACTGAATATATGTAGTAAGGTTAATTACTGTCAGATTCGATAAACACATGAAACTTTTACACAATAAAACACTTCCATAAAAGTATAAAATTTGTTACCTTTATACATAGGGTCTATGAGTAACCCTAAGTAAACTTTAGTAAGTAAATACGCACACAAATATTACAAATCAAGTAAAGTATATAAACTACTTGACATAATATAAGTAGATAAATGAGTTATACACAAAAAGATTTTCGAACTAGAGCAAAGTGCAGGATGAATTCGAACAGAAACTAGTGATTGGTTACGTAAAGCGACATTTATTACAATTTACTAACGGTACTTACCGTAGTAATAGCATGTGCTTCAAACTACCCATTTTGAATGAAGTTATTAGATGACTTAGATAAATAATCTTGAAGCTCTATTCACATGATAATAATGCGCACAACATAAACGGTATTTTTGTGGTTACAAGTTACTAGTTGATGTCAGTTCATGAAAGTCTCTTTTAAATGACTGAAGAAAACAACTTTTAGAAAAGTTTCCTATTACAATAAATAATCAAAAGAGAGAATTGCATATTATCATGTACCTACCTGATTTAAGTACTGATCAGCTATTTTATTATTTACACCATGTGGAATTTCGTTTGTATTTAAGTGAGTGGGTGAAGAGTTGCGACGATTATCATTTAGTAATTGATAATATCGTGTATCTGTTGTATTTGTACCAATAGTTACATCTGGGAGTGGACCAATATCTGTCATACCTCTACGTTGAAGATTATTATTATTATTTGTAAGATATGCTCCAGGATTACGAACAATACGGCCAACGTTACTCATATGTGAACTGGGTAAAATAAGAGAAAAGTATTAAAAATAGGTAACTAATGGTAAATCTATTTTATTCAAGTACACTGAGAAAATTTTTAACCGGTTAGTTATTTACTAGTATATGGCTTTGACTTCCAGGAATTAGGCAGCTAGGAATTATAATTAGCCCTTACATAACAAATATAACCACAGTTAATTACAAAAATATTGTTCCTGTCATTATAATCATTATCAGTACTCACTTCTACCGAAAAATAAATTATTTTAGCATATTATCAATAAAATAGCTATAATTACAAATATTAATGAAAAAAATATTCATTGAAATTGACCTACAGTGGATCAGTCGATTGATTTTGTTGACGGAATCGTTCACGATCTATACGTTGAACTTCTTAACCGCACAGTTGGCAACAACAAAAATACATAAGAGGAATGGAAAAAGAAGCTAATGAAATACAGTGTAAGAATATGAGAAAATAAAAATTCTTCAAGAAATTGGATATTAGTAGTATACTTCATACATCCAGTATATGCTTATTCATCAATCCATTTTTGAGTAGCTTCTGTGTTCGTTAAAACCGTTATTTTGTTTCATTCGAGTAAAAAATTGTTACTTAACTGTAATTTAAGGTGCTGAGGTTCAATTTCTAAAATCATCATGAAAAAACCCTACTGAGGAGACATATACTGGGACGAAGCAGGTGTATATAGCTACTTAATTCAGTCGGTTACAACGTAGGAACAGGTACATATATGTAATTCAGCTGGCCTTCAGTTACTCTACAGCTACCCATCATTTCCAAACACCCTGAATGGAACATTGAAGTAGGCCCTCGAGTGTAAATGAATTTCAAATAAAGCTACTTAACTATTAAACATTTACCTATCGACTGATGTCAATCCATTCTGAAAACTAATTTTCATAAATTTCGAAATACTAAAAGTTAGTGAAAAGCAAGTATCGTTGCAAAATCAAAAAAATTCATGAATGAAAAGACAAGTCTCATAAAGACACCATATAGTCTACACAATATTCAATTTACAATCGTTAGTCATTTCTGTGGAAAGATGAAGAAAAATATTGAATCGACAAATTCAGTGTCTTGATAAACATAAAACTTTTCGTAAGTGTGAGTCAAACGAAGCTCAATCGACACGAAATGAAACTAACAAGATGAGTACCAAAAGAGTTTAAATAATTGTAGTAACACTCACAGTGAAAAAGATTGAACATTAGAAAATGTAATTTGAAAAGAAATGAAAATGTAAGTATGAAAGGACATAACTTTTTGTAAATTACTTATTCCTAATCCAGCCAATGTGATTGAGGATAACTAACGTACCCCAGACGTACACCAGATACAAAAACAAACTTACAACTTATAAAACTAAATTTATATAAACGACAATTGTTTCTTTTAGGTATAATTGGCTGTTAACTAATACACATGAATATTATGAGATAGGTTTACCTGAACCATCTGAATTTACAATAACATAATCTTCAAGCGGTGGTTCACCATATTCCATCTCAGCATTCATATACACTCCACGTTGATCAAATCGATATGCAGTTGATCTTTGTTCATCTACATTAAATCCATCCTGTCTTGTTGGTACTGCTGGTCGATAATTGTTTGATATATACTGTTGTTGATGATTAGAACTATAAAAGTTAGTGTTAAGATTATTTTGATGATTATCCGTAGGGTATTTATTAGAATCAATATGCATAAAATCACGTGGTTTTACTGAAGGCAGTTTAGGTAAGTTATTTTGGTCACTAGATGGTGATGAACTGGATGCATCTAATTCATCTTCAATGTATTCATCAACGGTAGTTTTCGTCATTTCATCATCTATATCGTCTAGACCATAGCCTGGATCATCATAATTATTGAAAGGTATAATACCAGCTCCGGTATGTTGTGGATAGAATGGATTGAAATCACCTGTTGAGTGTTGTGATGATGGTGATGATGAAGTTGCTCCAGATAAAGGTTGTTGTTTGTTGCTTGTATTGTTTGACCAATGTGTTGGATTAGTCCATTCACGAGGACCGTTTGATGAACCAGGTGGATTATTAGATGCCTGTGTATATACGAAAAGTATACGTTTAAAAGAAATGTAATACAAGATATAAGACAATAGATGGTAATTGTGGTGAACATTGGTTAATAGAATAATTGTTGCATTAGTAAGTTTTACTTATTGAGGTTTTGATAATATTTTAATGATAATTTTTCTAATACCATAGATATTAAATTGATTTTGATATATATATCACCGAATTATCTAATGTAAAGTTAAATAAAATAGTTAGGGACAAGTGTTCTCTTTATGAAGATATTTTCTTTCATGAACTTATATCGACTGAAGAATCAATCAAAATTTGGCAGTAGTAGACAATCATTTTATTTTAGTTTTAAATTTCCAAACGATCCATACCTTCGATTTCACATAAGAATGAACACAGAAATTTTAAGTTCCACAGTGAAGAAGATACTTTTAGAATATCAAAACAGACTCCAAAGGCGCACATTTTTTATCTCGACGGAATGGCGGTATAATACACCACAAACATCTCAATAGTAATAATAATAATAATAATAATAATAATAATAATAATAATAATAATAATAATAACCTCAATCAATAAGTAGCACCAAAATGGAATCGCGAAGATTTATTTCTAAACTATGAAGAACAAAGTCAACAAATTTGGGAGTGATTCAATTACCCAGCAATGATATTTCACAAAGATCGCATTATATCACAAACTGATTGAAGCTGGAAACTGGACCATCGAAACTTGCTCAATAGCATCGTGGATAACACACGAATTAATGATCATATTTTCAATTTTCAGACTAGGATTAAATGACCATACACTTCTAAATGGTTATCCTTAGTTCTTTAATTGATACCAGTGTACGTGGTGACAACTATCGCCAGAAAGACTTCGTCTTCATTAATGATGTGGGTATATATGCGACTCGTAAACGTGCTCCATTGTCTAGCTCGGATCACTGTATAATTCATGTTCTACCCAAAGTATATGGAAAGCATGGGAAGAGTACACTCTTACATCAAACCAAGAAAGTCAAATATAGAAATTACTCAGAAGGAAATATCCGAAATCTGAAAAACATGTTTCATACGACTAAAAGGGGATTAATTAGAGATGACTCACTGGAAATCACTACTGATGTTATGTAAGTATGTGCAAACTCTTTAAGAACTTACAGGTGACAAACAGATTAGGGGCGATAACCAGCTGAATGTTTGCGACTTAAATAAGTCTTTTGTACGTCAGTCATCTGATGTAATACTAACTTCATCCACAGGTTTAAAGAATAGCTGTGTTCCTAGTTTCACTGAAACTGGTGTCCGAAGATGTCTTCAGTCACTTAATTCATCCCGATGTTTACGACCTGATGGTATCCCAAACCTCCTTTTTTAAAATGTGCTGACGTCCTATGTTATCCATTCACGACTATCTTTAACAGATACTTCTCATCTAATCTCATATCGAAAATGTGGAGAAAGATGAAGATAATCCCTGTACCCAAGAAAGTATCTGGTGATAAGAATGTGAAATTTAGACCTATTGCAATAACTTCACCCTTCCTCAAAACAATGGAAAAATTATTAATACTTACACTTCATCCTGCGATAAAAGAGCATATTGGTTCATATCAGTTTGCTTACAGATGCAAAAGTAGCACCTTAGATGCTGTTGCTGTTCTGCATCACAACATAGTGTTCAAATTAGAAAAGGGTAAGAAGTATGTTCGATGTGCTTTTCTGGACTATACTTCAGCTTTTGATTTTATACCAAGACAACATTTATGTAACAAGTTAATCAGCGTCAACACTGACAACTGGATAACCAACTGGCTGTGTTCCTACCTCTATGGAAGGGAACAGTACACTGTATTTGGAAGAAAGTGTTCAACGTCTCTACTGTCTCATGAAGGTGTACCAGAAGAAGCTGTTCTTTCTCCTCTTCTTTTCTCTTTTTTTCTTCATGATCTGTCATCTTCCACAGAAAACACTTTTGTGAAATATGCGGATGATTTCACTGTATGTACGCCTATCTCTTCCTCTTTGCATCCCATAGAAATGAATGAGTTTTTGTCTCGTATTGATTGTTGGTCTGTTGGTAATGGTCTCATACTTAATCCGTCTAAATGTCAAGCTGTTAAATTTAGCATGAGACATGAACGGCATCTAAACACCATTTTGAGATCCCATAATCCCTGTGCCATTGGAGACTCTTTGATAAACACAGTGTCGAAGGTCAATTATCTTGGTGTCACCTTTTCCTCTGATCTCTCTTGGTCTTCTCACGTTTTATTGTTATCGAAGAAGGCTTTCCGTCTGACTTACTACATAAAGAGATTTCATGCTCTTGGGATTACTCGTCATTTACTCTTACAATTTGTCAATTCTTGCATATTACCTATTATTCTTTACTGTTCTCCATTATTCCTTCCCCAGACTTTTGAGAAAAGACTTTGCTGTATTGCAGAGAGTGCTGAAGGCAGTTAGCAATGTGTGTGATGAATCTTTGGAGGTCATAATTAATATGGTTGTGGATAGACATCTAAAGTCATGCAAACTCCTGGCAGGTGTGATTTTATCAGATACTAAGCATCCCCTTCATTCTTATCTTTTTCGTTGTATATCATCTGGTAGAACGAGACGTAATTACATTAAAATCCATGCACGCAAGCAAAAGTATAAAAGTTCTATAATACCTCACCTAGCAAATATACTCTGTGACGAACAGGTTGTTAGATTTAATTTAGTCAATAACCTGCATTCTTAACATGTTTCTAATTTGAAAAGTTGTACAGTTTTTCAGATTTTTTAAACCTTTTTTGTCTTCTGTTTTTTGTGTAAAAACTTGTTAAAATAGCCTGTGCTGAGAATTTCTATGTTGTACCAAAATATAATATTGGATAAAGCCATTAATAATAAAAAAAACTAAAAACTAAAATAAAATAGTTGACATGAAACGCGATTTCTTCAAAACTAATAATGAAAAATTTGTAAACTAAATTATCCTAAGATGTTAGTAAACCATGACATAAAAATGTTTGATACACGCACACAATAATATAACAGATTAAGTTTAAGAGTAAAAATTTCTTACTTTTCCTTGAGGTGTTTTATCTCTTCCACGATTACCATCTTGTGGAGCAAGATAATATGGGCCTTCACCAGTTCCTTGACCAAGAACAGTAATTCCAGAGCCTCGAACTGTTGGTCTGTTACGACTAGGTAGGGCAGGAGCAATAGATGATCGTGTTGCAGACGACTCTGGTCCAGAACCAGCTTATGTGTATAAAAAAGACAATCCACACATTATTTCGAAATTTACATGAATTTATAATTAACACTCTTAAATGTTTTGTTTCATAGGTTTGTTATTAATTATCTATCAAAATGCAGGCATTTAGGCACAGAAATTTATTTTGAAGACAATTCTTGTATAAAGATCCAATTGAAGTACGGTTGATGCGGAATGTAACTTCACTTGAATAAAATCTCTCTATCTTTGTACAAAAATGTATGCATTAACTGGTTATACTCATTTCTATGATTACCAAAATATACATGAGAAATGTTACACATATTATTAAAAGTACTCATTAAATTTAGGCCAGTCAATTCAATAGTGAAAAAAAGGAACAGTATTATATGGCTAGCACAAAAACTTGATATTCAATCCTATTGTGAATATATATCTTAAAACACAGAAACAAACATCAAATAAAATGGTTTCTTTTGACAGAAAAAAAGATTGTCACAAAGTTAAAGAGAATTTTCAATTCAACTGATAAATCAAAATGAAATGCATTGTAGAAAAATGATAATCATATGAGATCGAAAACTTTTTAAGAAATAACTTCATTTATATTATTGATATCGTGAGTCAATCTAAGTTACACCATCATTGAAAACCTGGAAACATTGAACGGCCGTTTTTCCTAGTATGGAACTCCTCAGCAGTGAGCATTCACGATCTTGAACGCAGGAATCCTGAATTCAGTCTCGTGAGTGAACACTTAACCCCTAGACCACTGAGCCGGCATCCAACGACTTTAATGTTTAGCTTCAACCAATCCACGTTCGGTGCTTCAAGGTTCCTAATGTTGATCTAGCTTAGATAGGTTAATGATTTTAGTGAAATCCAACAATCTCCACAACCCCATATAATGAGAACTTTATATATATCATAATTAAAATTAAAAAATGAATGTGGCTAGCAGTGGAATGCAGGACACGTGTTTCTTCCTATCTGGGGCTCGTCATTTGCATATACTTGCATCCCAGAGTTGATGTTCACTTCAGGACTCGAACTCAGTACCGTATCTTATTGTTAATCAATTAGATTGATTTATCTAATGGTACAGTTAATAGAAAAATAACCAAAATGGTTAGACAACACCAGAAAAACGTCTCAACGAACATATAATAAAATTAATTTTTGTGAGAAGAAAACGTTATTGAAAAATTGGTTATTAATAATAACTACAAGTGACCAATACGATCAGTTTGCTAAAATATATTGTTTTTTTAGTGTAAGTGTTATCGATATCAACTGATCATTTCTGAATTCCAAAAGATGAAAGATGTCAATGATGTCCATTACTACTGTAGTGAACGAGAACCTAAATAGAGAAAGCCAATTTATTGTTAAATGCAAAATTACACAGTGATTTCGGAAAATATGAATATCATACATGAAATACATCATTTGAACATCTTCCATCAGTTTTCATTTACATACTTCATAATTCTTACAATTCCGTTGTTATTTCAAATGCTTTCTGTTTTCACCCCTGTTCTCCTCAATTCAATCTTCCACTAGCAGGCATTCCACTTTCCGATTTCTGCTAAATATTACTTTTATCTGTCAGCATAAGCAGTATACACCACGCTATCACTACTGGTCAATGGGAAATCGTTGTCCAATAAATCGTAAATGGTATTATCAATTATTGCACTGTTTAAGGAATCACCTGTCGAATGTATTCCTAAGTATCTTATAGAATAAATGGATTATGTTTAACAATGGAATTAAGGAAGTGTGTGCTGTCTTATCTATGATTAAGTTAGCTGGATTTAACTACGCTCGATTAGCGATGTCCACATTGAAAACTCGATAATGCATCAAGTTAGTTCGTCAGCTAAAAGTAGGACCAGGCACATATATGCATCGGTCCAAGTTGCCAAAAATCATTAGCACACCAAGATAAACACCAAATTCACAAAAGTATTTACTTCAATGGTAGTAATATATAAAAGAAAGGTTGTGTATAAGGATGTGACATACGGGAGAAAAAATTAGTTAGTAGAAAGGTATAAAGTAAATTTAATCTCACAGTTTAGAGGAAAATAAACAGTACATACACGAACTCTATTGTGATCGAACCTGTGTCATGTCACCAAGTCTCCAACCATCCGTTAAAATAATCGCGTGGACCCCAACCAAGTAGTCTGCATCTACTAACATGGCTAAGACCAGAAGTCAGTGACTTCAAGCACTGATGACACGTCTTGGTTTGACCACCCCTCACTTTCTTCCAACCGTCTCCAACACTAGTCAGCATTGCACGTCGTGGTAATCGGTGATCAGGCATACATAACACGTGGCCCAACTATCTCAGTCGATGAAGATTCACAATCCATCAACTGACTCACCATCACTCCATAATACCATGCGTTTAACTCCACTTTTACTTAACCGGTGATCTCAGCAGATGCGAGCAATATTTCTAAGACATTTATGGTCAAATGCTGGTAGCTTACGGCTATTTTCTACTCTTCATAGCCACGTTACGCAGCCGAAAAGTAGAACAGAAAGAAATGCTGCACAGTATACTCGTCCCTTAATTGATAGACCGATATTTTGCCTTCGACATAGGTGACGTCAGTTGGCAAAAGCCAAACGAGGTTTTCGAATCCATGCTGAGATTCGTCAGACACCGACCACTTAAGGCTGATCAGACTTCCAAGATAAGTGAAGTTGTCATATAGACCAGCTGCTCCTCCTCGTTTCAGATTAGCTATGGCCTACTTCAGTGTTCCGTTCAGGCTGTTTGTGAATGGTGGGTAGTTGTGGAGTAGCTGAAGGCCAGCTGAACTGCTCCTTAAAGTGCATCGTCCATCGTTTTAAATGTCTGGGCTGAGAGCAGATAAATGTCGTTTTTTTCCGAGATAGTCTCGCTTACACTTAACTTCATAACTCCAGTTTCTTTTATTAGCCTGATAAGCTGTCTGGTGTTACATACAGCCGCTGACTTTCCCATCCCTTTTGCTTTCGTCCCTCACCACCGCTCAGGGTCGTTCTTTAGGCTTTTGGTTAACCTAGATCTGATTTGTTTTTGCACTTTATCGTTTTTGGAGTCAGATGGGGTTAGTTTACGAGAATCTATCATTGCAATAGAATTTGTGGAAATCCACTGGTTTTTCGTGACCTCTTGGTTCACATCACTAATAGATGTCGCTGCTGTTTATACAACTGTTTGTATAAAATTCCAAGCAACGTCCAGGTCAGCTTCATTTTCAGAACTGCCTAGGTGTGACCTCAGTTGTTTCTGGAATCTACTTTTGGCTTTCCCGTCACTGAGCTCAACTCCAATCGGTCTTCTTAATGTGGATTTTTCCGCGTCCAGTGGGGCGCAAACAAATGCGTGCTCGTATTAGAGCATGATCAGAGTTTAATGCATCCTCTTACAAATAATGACACTTTTAAATCCATAGATCCTAAACAACGTAATATTTCAGGATACTCAACGAGTTGTAACGCACCCGATTATCTAAATCAAGCAGGTTGAAGAGAACTTTTAAACAAATATTGAAATGTTGAACAGAAAATAAATATCTACAGCTATTAAGTCATATGAACATACATTTAACTACTCACTATATTTCACAACCTTTTACAAACGAATTCGACTGTTACTTTGTATATAAATGACTTTCTTTGTATAAAAAAAAAAGACAGAAATTCAGTAAAAATAAATACAGAATTTTTTTCAAAAAAATCCATATTTATATGTTTAGGACAAATTACTATACTTCTAAACATTAGAAATACTGAGTTATTCAAAATAAGTGAGATATTGATGGTATATTATATGACGGATACAAAGAAGAGAGACTAAAGTGTATGTAGTTAGTAGAAATTATGAAAATTAACAAAAAAAAGCATATAATCTACACAATGTATGTTAAACTAGTTACACCTTTTTCACACACTGAAAAAAAAAGAATAAATAAAGCATACCTCTGCGTCCTGAATGATTACAGAGATTAGAACCCCACCAACACATATGGAAAGGTATTATAAAAAATAAGTTGGAAATAGGCAAAAATGACGATTTAGAGTATCATCATTAAAATAAATAATAAACAACACATATAACCGAACAATATTGTTTTCTATTACATCCTCATCAAACTTTAATATACAGTAATATTTATATAAATATACGAAATTATTAGACCGATCAAAGCAGTTTATGAGCCAGTGATAACAGTGGAACGGATTCTGTGACTATGGAAATAGAAAAAGTTAACTAGATACCGATATACAGTTTGAGAACTTATATTCACAAATAACATATTTGGTCCCAACCTCACTTGATGAACTTACTAGATTTAAAACCAAGTAGGCTGACATCTGCCAACAATGCAAAACTGGTAAATATACCACGAAATCACCACGTACCAAACAACATCGAAATGCTTTATATATGCTTAGAAAAGATAACTTTCTGATCATAAGCAAGCTAGACAAAGGAGGTGTAGTTCTAATAAACAAAGATGAATATATTGATAAAATGAACTCATTCAATGAATGATTCGACCAAATTTCAAAAACTCAACGACGTTAAGGATACAAATATGAAAGCAGAGAAAATACTGACTAATTCGCTTAAAGAATTAAAAAATAAAGGAATACTTACTCCAACCATTCACGATTTTCACTTAAACCCAGTGGATCGAACACACCACAATTCTATGGTTCACCCAAAATCCACAAGATAGGAATTCCTCTTCCTCTAGTTTGAGATATGTATAATTCTACCTACCATAAAACTGCAGAGTGGTTAGTTCGAGTTCTTGATCCCTTAAACAGAAGCGTTAAGGATGTTTTCGATTTCATTTCTAAGGTGGAAGATACGAAACTCCGCCTGTAGCTTTTCTAGAGTTACTGCCGTTCCCAAGCCCGGGTAAAGGAGGAGGGTTAGGCATGGAGTTAGCGACCCCATCCCGCAGAAAACTAACTCGTTAAAAAACGCTAACCAGAAAAAATAATTCAA